AGGCAAAAAGTTCCTTTTTTCTTTTTTCTTTTTGAGGAATTGATGCAGTGGTACCTCACTCTTTGGAACAAAGAGGAGAAAAAAATAAGCTGAGGGGCACTTTGTAACAAATATCCATATGTAAAAGGGTTGCCCCATGCTTCTACTCAATACCACAGATGAAATATGGTTTTGTTGGGCATTGCTACAGGATTTCATCAGTCTGTGCATGGATTTTGCTCCACTGAGGGGCTACAGCAGTCTTTGGTGGAGTAGAATCTCTTCATATTTATGGGTTTTATCATGTGCTGCTTTACACTGAGTTGTTCAAAGAGGACCACTGACCCTTTGAAAATCCCCCTGCAGAGATCCTTGCCCAAAATGCATGGAACAGAAGGTACCACCCCAAGCTATCATTAGGTCTGTGGGAGCAGGAGCAGAAACTGTGCCAGACCCATTTCTCCTCCATTCCTTTCACATTCACTAGCACGACTCGAGCCCAGGGATCTTCCTTTCTTTCCTCAGCGCAGGGCCACATTGCAAGCAGTGGAATTCCCTGTGGCTCCCTCCATTAAAGTTTGCAGCTTCACACCCCTCTCCAGTTACAGCTGATGGCTGCACAAAATCCTGATGGCGTCTCATATATGTTCCCATATATTTGCTCATGCATAAAAGTTAACTGGGAAAATAAGTGTTTTAGGAAACTCTATGAAATAGACCACAGAATGTTCAGTTTTAAGAGGCCAATAAATGGCCTTATCAGAGAGTATTTCTGGAATATAACTTCAGACCACACGTTCTCCACCTGATTCATGCTCTGCAGGAGGCATCCAAACACAGTCCTACTCATCATAGAATCACAGAATCGTTTAGGTTGGAAAAGACCACCAAGATCACCAAAAGAACCCCAAGTCCAACCCCGATGCACCCCCACCATGTCCCCAAGTGCCACATCCACCATTTTCTTGAACACTCCTAGGGATGGTGACTCCACCACCTCCCCGGGCAGCCTGTTCCAGTGCATTGCCACTCTTTCTGAGAAGACATTTTTCCTGATAGCCAACCTGAGCCTCCCAGTCATGAACACAAAAGGGCAAAGTCACGGCTGTGAACTCTGACCTCATCACCACCTTCCTTCTGTTCCGTAGGCTGACTGTTCATCTCCACTGAATCTGCCCTCTCTGCTGCACTGTGGCCCCATAATCTCAGAGACCAACCACCATGCAGCAAAAGCCATGGAATTTTCTTCCACTCATCCTGGGATTCGGGCCGGAGCTTCCAAGTGCAGCAGGTTTTGAAGCAGTGACACAGACTTTCCAGGCAGCTCTTCCCCACAAGGCATCCTCTCCATGCAGGTGCCTTGCAAGTGTGGTGCTCCAAAGCTGTGCTTCTGCATCCCATGTGCACCTTTGGGCGGCTCTGCATTTCTTCCACTTAGCGGACGCTTTGCACATCCATGCATTACAGAAGGCCAATATTGGTATACTAAAATATAGCAAGGTCAGAAGTCATTGCTATTGGCTAATGAATGGGTTGTGTAGGGAGGAGAAATTGTTGGAAGCTGCATTTTACCTGCAGTCTGCTAGCCTGCCCTTTTGCTGCTGGCATTCATTTGTTGTCATGTAGTTACGTGCTGGACTGTATTTGCAGGGCCCCTACCATGGAGGAAGACATCATTTCCCAAAGGAAATGCCCCGTTAATGCTGGCATGCCTGAATGGAATATTTCTCAATTGTGTAGAAGGAGCTTTTTTTTTTTTTCCAAAGCAGCTTTCCCCAGCAGACCCCATGGTTGAGCAAGCCCAACTCAGTGTCAGTTATGCATTTTGCATCCCATCCTTGCCCTGCAGAGTGCTCCAGGGTTGTCCTTCTGTACTATAATCACTGTGCCAGCTCCCTGGAGTCCCCATGGTTGAGCAAACCCAACTCAACATCCATTACACATTTTGCATCCCGTCCTTGCCCTGCGGAGTGCTCAGTGGTTGTCCTCCTGTGCTATAATCACTGTACAAACACATAACCATGGAGTGCATTAAAAAAAGTATGTTCTGTGCTCCGTTCACCTTTTTGGAAGAAGAGAGAGAGACAAAAACGTTTTGGCATTATTTTGCATTTATTTCACTGGCATGTGTATGAACAACACGGAGACCAAAAGCTTTTTGCTCCTAAAGTGGCACTGTGAAGCTCAAGGTGTCTGAATTATCTTTTTAATGAATACTTTAACCCATGCTTCTATTCCTGTTTAGCCATAAGAAGTCTAAAATAGCACCCAAAAAGTCTCTTTTTCTGATCTTAGGGTCCGTCCTGCATACGAGAGATTTGCTGAATGCACAGGGAGATCAGTGTGGTCCTCAATCAAGATCACCTATCGTTAATTAGGAGAGCAGTTCTGAATAATCTCACAGGGCTACCGAAGATGTAAACCTTCAAAATCTGAACTAGGGTGCTGCTACCCCACTGCACTGGGGAGGAAAGGCCCTCGATCTTCTCTGCTAATGGCTTTCAGGTTGATGAGTGGCTCTCGCTTGCTTTTTCAAGCAGGAAGACGTCTATAACAGTGAGACTTATTAATTTTATTTAAAGTGCTAAGGCTGACATCCTGGAGCTGTGGTCTCTTAAAATCTTTCTTAATTGTTATGGAGCAGCTTTAAGAGCACTTTAAGATGTCTCTATTTACAAGTTTAAAAAAAAAACAACCTATAACATCTTAAATCTTCTAGCAGAATTCCCATTCGTTTGGACATTTACCAGAGACAGTTATTACCCCATGGATGAAAATGCATTCGCAGTCAGGAGATTATTCCCTCCAGTATCCTGCAGCAGTTAGATACATAGGCCCAATTTTGAACAATATAAATCAATTTCTTTGTTTCTGTGCATCCATCTGGTGAAGAAAATGAGGTGTTTGCTGTTAAGTGAAGAAGCAGTAGGGCTATTTCCTAGATGTTAATAGGTTACACGATATTTATTTAATCTCTCTTTCATTTGAAAACTGTTCTGTATTTTTTTTCTGATTATAAAACCTAAGTGGAGCCTTTTCTGGTTTGGATTGACCTATATGTATAAGTATTTTGTTTTTCCCTTGTGAGGAAGCTACCTCTGCTTCTCCAAAGTTTACTTTTGAGGCAGTAGGGGCCTTGAGGTCATTGCTGCAGAGACAGCGTGGGGCAACCTGCCTCCCTGCTCTCCATATCCAACCCCCATCCCAACCCTCAGCCCTTCACTCCCATGGACCTTGTCCTGCCCAGCCAACATGCTGCCAGCTCACTGAGACCAAATGCAGAAGACAACCACATTTTCCCTCTCCATTCCCCCACTGAGTGAAAATTTAACCGAACCAACAGAAAAAGAATAAAAAAGACAAAGGCACTGGCAATGGGCTCAAGAGCAGTTTCTCTGTCTACACTCCCAGTTTGCCCAAACCCCTACACTTATTTCGTACGGCTCTAGCAGGGCTGTTTTGTCCATGAAGGATTTGTGTGTCGTGCTTACCCTTGTTGCTTCTCTTGGTTACGTGCATGGATCCACCATGAAAGCTTTATTTATCCCAAGCATTGGATGAGCTCTGTGTGCCCTCCCTCACATACACACCACTCCAACTCACAGAGGAGAGGGCTGCAAAGCCAAAATGCCTAATGAACAACCTCCTCCAGTCTTAAAATGTTTACAGCCCCCAAACACGCTAACAGAGCTGGGGAGGGCCTCAGGTCTCCGGTGATATTTGTTCCAACGTGGATCAAAGGAGGCTCCTTCTGTGCCTCCCGTCAGGCTCTGCACTGCAGGATGGAGGCTGTAAAATTTATTTGTAGAAGCTGTGCATTTGCAAAGAGGGCTCTAAAAACGTTATTGAAAAATGTCTTCATTCCCAAAAGCCTCACTATAATTTTAAAGTGTAAATAAAAATAGCGGTATTTGCTTACGCTGGAGAGCTCTAAAACTCTACTTGGGAAGTAAGAAAATCCTATTCTGCAACTTAAAATTATGATTCATGGTTCCTTTTCCAACCTCCAAGCACTTCTGCGACATAAAATGTGAAGCTAAGCATTTGCTTTTCATTTAAAAGGACTCATTAAGACCAAAAACGAGCTTCTTCAGCCCCATAATGCCTTTAACACGTCAAACCTAATAGAAGCTTTTCACCATGGGGTGCCTTTGGAGGACTTGGAAGCATCAAAAGGATCCTGCTGTTTTGCAAGACCAACATGCTTCTTTCTCCCAGATACATCATTCCAAGACTGCCGTTTAGTGGCGGACTTCAGCCCATGCTTGGATCCATTTGTCTGCTGCAGAGACACTTAAACAAGTGCTGCCATCCCATCAAAGCCAACACCACTTAAACTTCTTCGTAAAATTAAGCAGTTTCTTAGTGTGTGGCACTCAGCTGAGTTACAGGGTCTGTGTCCCCAGCACTGTCCTTAATTAAGAGTTTCTCTTGGTTTTAATAGGTGTTGCACCAAGCTCTGGCGAGCTGTGCTCCACTCTGACTTCATGGCCATGTTGGTTCTTAATAGCATCATGGAGGTCTCTGTAGGAGAGCTGCTCCTCCTATAGGCACAACCCATCACATTGCATAGGAATACTTTTCAATTTTGCCAAAATGTGGCCGTTTCACCTGAAATTTCCAATGGGAATTCTGCTGGGAAGTGGGATTCTTTTTTTTTTAGCTAGTTATGCACAGCAGTTGCTAAGAAGACAGTGGGCAGCAAATGCTACATCTAACGAAGTGTCTGCATTTAGGACACGTTTGGTGAAGTCACTATTTTCATTGGGAAAGCAGCTTCGTCTGGAAGGAGAAGTTGTAGATTTTTGACTTAGTCCTGACCCCACTCAACACCACTAAAATAACTGTGATAAAGGAGAGAGTGCTGAGTGGCATATTTGGTTAGGATAGCATAGCAAATATTATCCTTGTCTTCAGCAGCAAAGCTTTTGCACATTTCTGTATTTGGAAATGTTTCACTTTTCCTTTCCTGGCCAATCTCTCTGCAGCGCTTCTTGGTTGGAGTTCCTGTTTGTCAATTGTCCCATTTTTGGCTACAAGAGCTCTGAGGTTTCAAGCTGAAGATGAGAAACTTGCACTTTTGTGGTTTGGGGTGTAAGAATATGAAAACCAGGGGATTTTCACCCTGACCCCATATCCCGCAGCGTTCCAGCACGTCTGCTTATCCCGGCAGTGTTTATGTCGGATCTGAGCCACCAAATACCAGGCCACCTCCTTTTTCTAGCTTTTATTTTTATTTTTCTGGTTGGTTCTGCTGCCCGCTGGATCTTGCAGAGTAACAGTTGAAGACAGAAATGCCCGAGAGCGAAAAAAGGTAATTATACAGTAAGTCAGCCCTTGCATAACTTGTAAACTTTATGATCTTGCACTTTTATATGACGTATTTATAAACCAAGGAAAATGCCTAGCTAGAAAGAAAAAAAAAAAAAAAGAATTCTGCAATGTGTGAATACAGGTACCAGTAAAATAGGAGAATTCCAAGAGACGTCTGTTCTTTTCCTTCTTCCTTTCACCCACAGCAGAGAATTGAATTGCTGGAGTGACATTTCTTTTCTCTTCTATTGAAGAAGGAAAGAATCCTCTGACAACAGACCACAGAAGGGAAGTGATGGGGGCAGATCCCAACGACCTGCTTGCCGTTCAACACCTTGCTCTGGCTCCTTGCCTTACAGAGGCACTCAGCGCTGGATTCCTCCTTTCCTGTATTCCCAGAGCATAATTACTCCATTCCTTTGATGGCAATAATCTGAACTTTGAAATGTGGGAAGATGAATCAGACGGGAGATGGATGGAGTCATTTTCTAGAAGCTGCTCAGGCTGTATTCCCATCCAAAACAAGGGTTATTGACGGTCTTGGTGACCACAACCACCATCTCACACTAATTACTCTCAGTTGCTCCTACATCATGCACAAAAATGTCTGAGAAAAGGGCCATATCCGAAGAGGCAGGATCTGATGAGTTAACAATCACCCTATTTACCCCCCTGTGACATCCTATTGCCCTGGGTGATTGGGGTCACCTCCATGGGTGGGATTTCTCATTGGGAGCTGGGATGTGGATTTTTGGTAGTGGATTTTCGGTAGTTTCAATATCAACCAATGAAATGAGATTTTTTTTTCTGTGTGTAAGGTCTTTGGATTGATTGTGCTGAGACACTTGGGCTCCAGTCCTTCCTGGTTATTATTACTGAATCATTAAGGTTGGAAAAGACCTCTAAGATCACCCATCCAACCCCAGCCCACCCCACCATGCCCATCACCACGTCCCTCAGTGCCACATCCCCACAGTTCTGGAACACCTCCATGGATGGTGACCCCACCACTCCCTGAGCAGTGTGTGTCAATGCATCACCACAATTTGCGAGAAAAAATTGTTCCTAATATTCAGTCTGAACCTTCCCTGGATTATTTTTTCTTGCAAGACAGCAGGCAATAAGACTGTATACACCAGATGCTTTTTTTACAGTGCAGTAGGAATAAAGTCCTTCTCCATGCTTCTCCTCTCTGTTCCAGAGCTTTGCTGGGTGCACATGGTGTTGATTCAGCCTTGAGATGATGTGTAGATGACACCCAAAGCCTCAGTGGGGTAAGGTCCAAGATGAGCATCCTGCAGTGCTGGATGGAAAAAGGGCCTGAGGGAGGGGGGAGCCTCACCAGTAATAAAGAGATCTGATAGCAAATGGGAAGGTTACCTGGCAACATTCCTGTCCATTTAAAGCAAATTTATTGTCAAGTTGCTTCCTTATTGCTGCCCTGTTATTAATTGTTAATGTGGTGCTGCACTCTGTATAGGGGTGCTGCAAAAGGCTGAGATCAGGGGGCCTGAAAGGACATTTTCTGTGCAAAGAATCATGAGTGCTCATTGCTGGCTCTGCTCTGCAGGCTCTGGCAGGAAATTCCTGCTCTTGGAACAAGGGGGCAAACGGGTGGCAAAGAAAAATAAAATGTGTGGGGTCACCGGGTTCCTAAATTACAATGGTGTGTGCATGTGAAATGCTTACAGAAAAAGAGACACCATGAGAATGGAAATCTGCAAAACACCGTTTAGGAACCTTGAGCTGTTTTCTCTATAAATAGAATTCTTTGTTTTACACTGAAATGAAAAGTGCTGCATCTTTGGGTTCTCACTGGGCTTCGCTGTGCGCAGCCTGATCTGATCGGTCCCCCACCCTGACTGCATGGAACCAGTGAGGCTGAGCTATCAGGAGATGGGCAGATCTCAGCCAAGAAGGACAAAACAAATAAAAGAAGTTTGAATTGGAGCAGAACTCAGCATAGAATCATAGAACATCTTGAGTTGGAAGGAACCCATAAGGATCACTGAGTCCAACTGCTGGCATATGGAGATGATCGACATCGTTCATGCATTCCAACCCAACAGCATTGAGAAAACACAGCTTTTGCATTTTTATTATCTTCTTCTTTCTGTGTGGAAAAGGAAAACCTCCATTTCCAAACCCTCTTCAGCAAAACCCAAATGTTTTTGCATTCAGGATGAAAGCAGCATTCACCAAGCCATGTGCTGAACATGGGAGAGACCCCAGAGCTGCCCCACCAGCACCTGGGCTTCGATGCCTCTTTAGTTAGGTGGTGCTCTGGGCTGTGCTGCCCACTAAAGTTCCATTTATAGACATTTTACAACGTGCTAATAAATTTACAAAGTGTTAATAAACAGGGATAATTGTTTGTTAGTGTTTCTGAAAGAATCCAACCGGGCAAAAACTCCCTATAAAGGATCTCTAATGCTGCTCCTCGATGAGCGTATAAAACATGTCCGACACAGACATGTAATGTGGGCAGAACATCTTTGAGCCATTAACTCCTTGTAGCCCAGCTAAAAGCAGGACTTTCCAAGAAGTGTGGTTTTCTAATTCTGTGCTATGTGCATATGGTAAGAATTCGGTTTTAAAGAACCTTTTTTTTATGGAGATGAATGGTGTCCGGTGCCCAGCAGAGATTCACTCGTGCCAGAGTCATCAAATGCCTTCCCAAAAATGCAAGTGACATTTTGGATTACAGTGATCCCTTTGCAATAGGACAGGTTTTTCTTTTAATGCATACTATGATCCCATGTTTACCATGCGTGGGTCTGCCTGAACCAGGAAATGCTCACATTTCTGAGCCCCACTGTAGCAAAAGAGAATGTAATTAATTGCTTAAAGAGGGCAACATGCTTAACTAAGAGTTGGCAAGCTCACATCTCCATTCCTGCACTATGTGCATCAATTTTGCCCTTGCCAAGGGAGGATCCAGGAGAGCAGCTATTCTGCTGCCGACAATGCGCTGTGTTTCTGCCTTGGGGAGCTCAGGGAGCAGAGCAGAGCCTTCTTCCCACCCTATCCACACAGCACTACCCCAAATACAGAGGATGGATTGCAGTGGGCAGAACCCGTTTTTGGCCTGAGATAATCTACAATGAAAACAATCTCCTGGGATTCCAAGGAAAACCCAGGAACCTTCGTATCTGCAAGACTTTTTGGGGTGAGATCTTGGCCTCCTTGAATACAAAGGGGAACTCCCTTCGATTTACACAGTTCTTGGCTTGTTGCCTTCAGGCCCGAGCTTTGCTGGATTGCAAAACTTTTATCATCTTTCCACAGTGGGGAAGAAAATCATCCCAGCTGCTGGGATGAGCTTGCAGACGGAGCATTGCTGCAAACAGAAGCTTGTGTGAAGCCATGGGTTTGGAAAGGGGCTGTCGGTGTCTTCTTTGCAGGAACAGAACTCTCTCAGTGTTTTCACAGGTGCTGCAGATACAGCAGGGCTGTCCTGCTCCCTTCCTGCCCAGCACCAAGTGTTTCCTCTGTGCTGGTGATATCATGTCAGCTAATGGGCTTTAATTGTGCCACCCCACTTAGCAACAACAAGCTGAAAGCTCATTATGTGCTGTCCTTGTGGCTGCTATGAGCAGCTCAAAGCCTTTCCAATGGTCAGAGCTCTTCCTGAGAGCACAGCAACAGCAATGCAGAGTGGGAACGAGGAGTTCAGATTGGGTATTTGGAAAGGCTGCTTCTCAGGAGGAGTGGTGATGTATTGGCACAGGCTGCCAATGGGAGCTGGGAGAGTCACCACCACTGGAGGTGCTCATGAAACATGGAGATGTGGCACTGAGGGGCATGGGGCGTGGAGCTGGTGATCTTAGAGGTCTTCTCCAACCTTAATGATTCTATGATTCAAACTGTGCCAGTGACAGCCTGCTGTCTGCCTGCATTTGCCTACACAACCTGCGTCACCCCAAAGCTAATGCTTCAGGCAGCAGTAAAGGAGTACAAAGCCACCCTCTTAAATATCCAATAGGAGAAAGAATGGATTGTTCTGTGCTTACGAGACTAATTGGATTTGGGAGAAATATTTTAATGATTTGGTGGTAATGAGTTACTGGATGGCTGATTCCAGCAGAAAGTCCAACCGTGGCATCGTGCCAATGGTCTGCAAGTGAAATCTCTCTTGGAGTCCAAGAGGGAACCAGTGCTAGGTCTTGAGCATGGAATAGAGCTCCAGGGCTGCTTCTGATCTCATTTCATGCCTCCATAACTCCTTAGCCATGATTTACGCTGATATCACTGAGACTCCGATTGGACCTTAATTTTTTTATGTAGCATTTCCTAAAGCTGTGGAGCACTGCTGTGGACCTGTTCCATCAATGAAGATGGATCAGATATCCAGGTACTTATTATATTATTTTGCTGCCTTGATGGCTTCCTTGTGTAAATTGAATTTTGGGGTTTTTTTCAAGCAAAAAGCCCTAAGTTTGACACGTGATGCTGGAGATGTGGGGGCTTTGGGGAGTGAAAAGAGGATGGTTAGTTGAGGACTTTACATAACATTGAACTTTCAGCCTTGGGACACAGGACATGTTTTCCTCCCCTTCTCTCTCTGCTAGTCCACTGTGCATTGGAAATTGTTACTGTGTCATCCTTCAATCTTCTCATTTTTAGATATCTCATCCCCTTTGTGTTCTCTCCTGCACTTCCTTCCATCAGCCCATATCTCTGCTGAAGTGCAGCAGTATTACAATGCCACGTGTGCAGCTTGCACACAATTATCTCACGCTCTTTGTACAACCACTCGGATGTTCTTCCTGGCAGCAAACTGTGACTCTCTCTGAGCAAAAACAGTTTTCCAACCAATTTTACCCCTGAAATGGGGTATCCTTGGGCCTTATACCACAGCTGGCTTGAGAATGTACCACATGAGTTAACACAGAAGCCTTCCTAAGACCAAGACAAATGATTTTTGACCATTCTTCCTCATCTCTTTACTCTCTCTTACTCTATAGAAGAGGAAATTAGATCAATTTGGTGTGATCTGAGCAAATTTATGACAGCTATGACTCACTGTATGTCTCAGGACATCCCTCCATATCAGACTAATGGTTACACAACAACAAAGCTTAACATCTTCACATCGTTTCCTTTCCAGAAAATTGTCAAATATCACAGAAAAATGGATATTCCTTCATGATCGGAGTGGCTTTGTTCAAACCACTGCACCCCAGACAGCCTGAGCTGTGGTCGTGGTCTCCACAATCAAAGCTGTCTTTCAAGCACATTGTAGAATGGAAGTTGGTAGTTGATAATTTACCAGTCAGGCTATCAGTGCTAATTACTATGCTTCTCTGGTGGAACAAAGAGATTGAAAAAGAAACGGACAAAAAGGAGAAGGGCGGCTAATTCACAGATTTCTGTTATCAGCATTTTCCTTATCTGGAAATGTAAATGTTCCAAAAAAGTGCATTCTCATCAACAGAGTATGAACAAGAACTTTTGAAATCCCCTAATTCCTTATGTGTCCTTAACTGAGATATATAATTATATGGATGCACACAGCTCAGGATTTTGTCACAAGTTAATGAAATTCATCTGACTTTGTAGGAAAATTTTTTTATTTCATTCACAGTGAAGATGTATCATGTTATTATTTTATTTTATTTCTGCCCATAGGACCTATCAATACATACATTGGGGCAAATAAGTATTTACCAGAAACTCCTGGTGACCATTTAAGATCAGTAAGCTGGCAATGTTAGTTTGAATAAGCAGCCCTCATAAAGGAAACTATGTTGAATTTTTGGCATGTTGGCAAAGAATTTCTGCCAAGACTTTGCATAAAATGAACATTAAAGGCCATGAAAGGTGTTTATTCACCTTTTCCTTGGCAGTTCAAAGGAGCTGTAATGGCAAAAGCTTGGTACTGGGAACGGAGGTGGTGATCCTTGGTTTCCGCTTCCAGACATTCAATGTCAAAATGCTGCCAGAAAACACTTTTTTGTTTTCATCAAATGCATAAGTTGTGGTCTAGATTAATGAAAAATAAAGTCTTTGTTCAAGTCCTTGTTGAGTGCTCACGATGGGCTCTTCACCACAAGTGTTGGTGAAGCTAAATCACCATCCACATCAAACCAACAGTGTGGTTTTTGGAAGCTATGGTTTCTTCTCGCAGGGCAGCCTTTTGGCCATGAAGATGCTGAACCATTGTTCAGAACTGGGTTTACGTCCATCTCAGATTGTTTACAGACAAAACAGTGGTGATGACACCCCTGAAATTTCCATACGGTGTTCATTAATCATCTCCAGCGAATCTGAACAATTGAGTTGGTGAATGTCTTTGTAAATGTCATCGGTAAATGTCTTTTGCAGACTGGTCATAGATAGAATTAAGATTCTGCCATGCTGGTTGTCAAGTTCTCTCTCCTATCCAGGAAGCATGAAAGAAACCAAATGCAGATAGATAGAACTTTCATAGCTGAGGGCTCGGAGTCACCTTCACCCACACACCAGTGGCACCCCGACCAGCTACCTGTCTGAGATGCAAATCTCATATTTCAGATTTTATAGTCTTGTGTCTGGCTCATTCCTGAGCCAGCCCTTTCCATAACCAACACACTGATGGTTTTCAGAGCTAAATGCTAAAACCACGTCAGCAGATCAATTAAGAGGTGCAGCAAGGAACCAATTTTTCAGAGATTTAGAAAGGCAAAGTGGTGAGTGAGGTGGAAGTCAGAGAGGTTGACCCATGCAGTGAAGGTTGTATGTGAGAAAGATCTCAAAATGGCAAAGAGATGGGACTACAGGGACATGAGGAAAAGGAACAGGATGGGACAATGCCCTGCAAGCCCAGCCTAAGGAAAGCAATGGGCATTCCATTCTCATTGGACAATCCATATGCAACCTATGAGTAAATAATTTGAAGCTATGATTCAATGGACTCTGCCAGTTCTAATTCCATCCCTAGTTCAGCAGTGAGACTGTACATCTGGTTCTCTATATACTAACCTATAAAGTTTTGGTGTCCCAGGCAAAAAGGAGGTAAAGCAGCAACTTGGCAAAGTAATCCTAAAAAGCCATTTGCTTATTTTACTCGAGAGGCTTACCTGTCAAACTCAGTCTGAACTTCTAACAAATGCAGGCCAGGAGCAGACCTCAAGCAGTCAGCAGCACAGCGCTTTGTTTGGGGAAGGTGAGCAGAAAAATGACATCGTTCTCTATTTCAGAAGCCCTTCATCTCATTGGATGAAGTTCATTTGCAGTATGGGATATGGAAAGAGGGTCGCTCACACAGGTACACACAGCTCGCCTCCAGGAGCACAGGGAACATGTTTCTGCAGAGCTAAGCTCCTGAAATGAGTGTCCAAAGCCTTTCCAAGGGAGTGCCAAAGCACATTTTCTTTTCCCGACTCAGAAGCTGAGCATGCAGCAGTACATCTCCTCTCAATTCCAAACTCAGGAGAAGTAGGGACCCAGATAAATGTGTCGGCTCCACCCCAGCCAGGCGAATGCCCCCCTGGGACTTGATGTCTTTGCACTGCTGTTTCTCTGTTTCCATTCTCCATTCCTATTCTTAAAGTGCACGGATTGGTTTGCTGGACATTTCTGCAAATTGATGCATGGGGGGCATTATGCTGAACTTCATTACTTCTTAGATTGACCTGTCCTGTCTGCCTCATTGTCATCATGTCACCTAAGTTTAGTGGCGTTTGGCTGCCTGTTCCTCTTAGGGTTACCCCAGGGCTGCCCCAAGCCCCTGCCACGTGCAGCCCCTGCAGTCACAGCTGACTCTCTCTCTCCAGTGACCTCATCAGCCACGGTGTTTTGTTAATCCTACAGCTTGCACAGAGGGCTGAATAGTCTCACGGAAATCAGATGGTTCCCATTGTACACACAGACAAACACAGTGTGTGCACGCAGCAGGGTATGGGCTCACCCTGGGCAGCTCCTTGCATGGCCCAAGGCACATCAGCCCCAGCACCCAGCTGAGGACTCCCAGATCCAGCTATTTTGTCCAGAACAAGTCATGTTTCCCTTCCAAGGAAAGATTTCTGGGGCAACCCAGAAGTTGCACTTCTCCAAGGAATGGAGTTCAATTACATACATTTTATTTCTCTCTCTTTTTTTTTTTTTCCCAATGACTGACACAAACTTTGTTTACAGCTGAGGTTTCTCAGAATTAGCAGTCCTAGAATAACAATGGCTCTGATCAACCACCTTCTACCAGGGCTTCTTATCTTTTCCTTTCTGCCCTGTATCTTTTGGCTGGAGTTCCAAAGCAAAGTTGGAACACAAACAGCTTCCAAACCGCAGTGCACAACTCACTATCCAAAAAAGCACTGCTACAACTCCAGGCAGGCGCACAGTAAATCACCCCATGGAGGCAGCAGCGTGCATTCCCCCGACCGAAAGCAACCCTGTAGGAAAGGCCACTGAGTCAAATAAAGCCCTGCTGTTTCCACTGAGGGTGGCGTTGGCCCTGGATGGTCGCAGATGTCAGATTATTCTGATGCACGGCGTCACGCAGGCACAGCAGATTCACATTACAGAGGTCAAGCTAATACCAGCGCGGTTGGGGTTGAAGTATTCTGCTCCTGATTTAATGCTGAAGGCCAAACTGAGGCAGACTTCTGGAATTCAGTGGCCCTTGGGAACAGGCTCTGAGAGGATGTGGAGGTTTAACCCTCTGAGCCCCCCTGTGCTCACTGGTGAAACTCCCAAACCTAACCCTAACCCTAATTCTAACACTAACCCTAAACTCAATCCTAATCCTACTCCTAGTCCTAACCCTAATTCCAACCCCAGTCCTAACCTTAGTCCTAACCCCAGCTATTCCTAACACCAGCTCCAACCCTAAGTGTAACACCAATTCCAACTCTCACTCCAAACCCTAACCCCAACTCCAATCCTAACCCTAACCTTAACCCCAAACTCCACCTTAATCCCAACCCAAACCCTAAACCTAACCCTAACACTAACCCTAATACAATGCCAACCTTAACACCAAACCCAGTGCTAATCTGAGGTGCAAAAAAAAAAACAAAAACCAAGCCCAAACTTCAACCCTAAAGCCAACCCCAAACCCAGGGCCAACCCAAATCCTAAGCCTAACCTTAATCTTAACCCTAACCCTGATGCTTAAACTTAACCCTAACCCTAACTCCAACCTCAACCCTAAGACCAATTCCAACCCTAACCCTAATCTTAACCGTAACCCGAACCCCAACTCCAACCCCAGCCCTCACTCTATTCCACCCTAACCAAAACTCCAACCCCAACCCTAGCCCTAATCCCAACCCTAGCCCCAAACATAATCCCAGCCCTAACACTAAGCCTAAACCTAACCTTAACCCCTAACCTAAATTCAGCGCTAACCCCAACCCCAACAAAAACCCCAAGTCTACCCTAACCACAACCCTAACCCTAACCATTCAGATGGGGATTTTGTAGCCCCATAAACTTGCAGTGACCCATGGAAGAAGTGGTTTTGAGTCAACCCTGAAGCCTCCCTGTGCCTCAAGCAAGATCCTCCTGCCCCAGAAAGCATCCAAACCAAAGCCAATGCTCTGCCAACCTTCAAGTGCGGGTCCCCTCATATTTTCCTCATTGTTTTCCTCCTGTGGGGCTTCAGGATGGGAACATTGGGGCCAAAAGGGCCGTTCAGGCTGCTGGGACAGAAAGGTGCTCTCTGTGTAGGAGTGTCATAGAGAAAGCACAACTGGACAAGCTTCTGTTCCCATCATCCTGCCTCACCCTTCTGCACCCTTCTCCCTTGCAGTGAGTCTGATGCTTCTGCACATCTCAGGGAGGAAAAGCTTTCCATCACATTGAAATGTGAAGCTTCCTCATTAGAATTTAATTTGCAGTGATAGAGAGGAAATTATCATGTCAATGCAGAGAAAAGAAACAGTGATTCAGGAGAGGAGCTTTTTGATAAATTGTACCAAGCACTTTTATCTCCATGGGTTTAAATGAAGATTTGGCTCAGGGAGGTTTGTACATGGCTTTATAATGACTGCCATGGAAGGGACAGATGGCCCGAGTGACAGTTGAGACCTTCCTGTATATTTATTTTTTTCTGGAGAGCTGTAGCAGTTGTCATGGCAACTCCCATTACAACAAAACCCACAAATATATTTTCAATTTATCCCTGAAAAAAAGAAAAAATCCCAGAGCCAGAGACGGAAGGTCACCTCCATAGGGAGCCTACAGTGGGGTCATAGCCCATAAACCATGTCCCATCAGTGGGTTTGGGCTCCTCTGACCTCCTCCCCTTGCTTTCGGCAGCAGCGTGTCCAGACCTGATCTTCTGCTGGGTGTAACCACTTCTGTTTGATTTCCACTCACTTTCTTTTCTTTTCCAGATAATCTGCCATCTTTGAACATCCAACTCTTCACTTGGAAAGACCAACATTTAATAATTGTTCCACATCTCCCCAAATTGTTTTTCTTCTCCTATTGTCTGCATTGCCACATCTTTTGGGAGAAGGAATTTTTCTTGTTCTCCCCAAGCTGGACTCACAGAGACATCATGAATTACAGTGCTCCATCACTTTGATGTCTCTGGTGCTTTGGGCTAAGTTTCTGGGAAACGGTGCTTAAGGCACGGGGAAGTGGAGAGCTGGGAAAAGGACACAGCAGTCCTTGAAGACAAACACAATTATGGGTGAGAAGCCTCTCCTTAGAATGACTCAGAGCACTTTGATGCTCTCTGCTGGCTCCGGATGCTGAGCTGCCCACATCCTACCAGGACAGGCCTAGGACATGTCCTGCACACTGCACCTCATGCCAGCAAAAGAATGGTCTGGTAGCAGGAGATGCTCCAGCTCTCATCAGGAAACAGGCTTATGGCCACAGCTTGGAGGAGGACTCATAGCCCTGGGGCCAAGGTAGGCAGACAGAAGCCTAGCAGAAGTTCAGCATTGCACAGCAAGCAACTGCCCAAAGCAGGGAAGGCTGAGGACATACAGGTCACCCTGCTGGGAAGGCTGATGGGCTTGAACCTTGGTTCAAATGAGACAAGTGCATGGTGCAAGGCTGATGGTGCACCAGCTGCTGGAATCCTCTTGCTTTCGGAGCTTGTTGCTCAAAGCTCATTGCTCAAAGCCCTGCTGCTCCCTTCCAGACTTGCTTTCAAAGCGCTTTCCTCTCTTATACATATTTCTCAATAAGGATATAGAAATAAATTACGTGCAGAAAAAAAAAAAAAAACCAGCTTGCCTTGTTCAGGCCTATTCGTTCCCAATGGTTTTGTCCCAGAATAAACACAGACATGTTTTGAAGCTTGTTGTGAAAGGAGATTGACTCTAAAATCTACTTCCTGGCTTTGAAAACTGCAGACCAGCATGGCTTTTATTATTAACCGGTCATTAGAGTGAGTGACATATAGAAGGAATAATTGCTTGGCTTGTTTCAGAGTTGAAGGATGTTAATTAAGAAGTTAAATGTTTGTTTTCCTTGCTTGGAACAAAGCACTCCTAGGGTTTGCACTGAGGGGGTGTTCTCCACCCCAGAGGCAGGTCCAGGTTTTGGGAGTGGGAGTGGTTATGCAGCCCCAATGCAGCCACATCATGGGGCCTTCACTGTCCTGTCATCTGCATCCATGGGCAAGGTCCCACAGAATGCAGAGTGGAAATGTAATGGCCCTAAGGGAGGGTCAGGTTGGATATTAGGAACAATTTATTCTCCAAAGGAGTGGTGATGCACTGGCACACACTGCCCAGTGAGTGGTAGGGTCACCCTGGAGGTGTTCCAGAACCATGAGGATGTGGCACTGAGGGACGTGGTCATGGGCATGGTGGGGATGGATTGACAGCTGGACTTGATCTTAGAGGTCTTTTCCACCCTTAATGATTCTATTTTGGGAGCTTAGATGGGAAAGATTCTGCTATGAGATGGGCGGGGAGAAAGTCATGCTGCAGAGCTTGGCAAGACCAAGGAGAGAGCACTGGTGGTGTGACAACACAATGCACATGGCTGCTGCAATGGCCATCACATCCAGACCCATCACAACAGCTCCTGCTTTGCCCCTCTCTCTTTGCAAGCTTTGCAGCATCCCAGGCAGACAGCACTGCTCTTTTTGCAGCCCTCCAGCTCCAAGGTTTGGCACCAACAGAGGTCAAAGGAGGAACACATTGAGCAGCAGAGGACTGGCTTTGCAGCAGCGTGGTGCACACAGGGAGCAAACTGAGCAGCAGCCCTGAGGGTTTCTGAGGCTCTTGGGTTCTGCAGAGCCCTGGGGCTGTTTGCTCAAAGGAAGTAATGACGAGAGGCACGTCTGCAGAGCTCAGAGCTCTGAGAAGGCCGCGTTATATAATGCCGCCTGCGCTGTCAGGCACTGCGCCAGTGGGGTAAGGAGAGACTCAGTGACCTTTTGGTGGTGACACATGGGGAGAACTGTGTGACTAAATCCAGCTCTGCTGTGCTCCTGCCCGCAGACGTTATATATGTGAAAGGCATTTGCATTTTACTTGGAAAATATATCCTGCAAAGGGGAAAGAGACATCACACTGCAGCCCAGCAGCTGTGCTTGGCCCCCTTCTGTGTTGCTGGTGCTGCTGCATGTGAAGGTGCAGGCTCTGGGAAATGGCCATAGGCTGGGAGGTGAGCACAGAAGAGTGATGCCTCCAGTGGCCATGCTGCTCTCCATAGAATGGAATGGAATGGAATGGAATGGAATGGAATGGAGTGGAATACTGTAGTTAGAGTTGGAAGGTACTTTTAGACTATCTAGCCCAACTCCCCTGCAGTGAACATCAACATCTACAGCTCAATCAGTCTGCTCAGAGTCCAGTCCAACCTGACCTTAAGTTCAAGGATAGGGGACCCACTGTGGTGCAATCCACTATGTCATCCAACCCTGTGATACTTGTTAACAAAGGAGGAAATGGAGCAAGGAGGAAAACTTACTGGGGTTGAACATTGGAAAATGGGCCATGACGTGGTTTGGAACAAAAGCAGTGTCATGGATTTCATCACAGCATCTGTATCATTATTTTGGTGGCATATACACAGAGATGCATGGCACTGGTACCATGTATTGATAGTACTGGTAAACCCCATAGCTCTGATATCTTTCTTTTCTGCAGTACACTGATCCTGGAGATCCTATGCTGCATTATGAGTACAGCATATTGACCTGGTTACTGGGATGCTTGTGGTATATCCAAGATAGCAAACAAAGAAAGAAGGTAGGAAACTAACAAGATGCCCCGCAGCAAAGCTTGGTGGTTGCTGCAGGATAGTGGGAAATCCCTCTGACACTCTGTGTAGAGCCCACCAGATGGGGTGCAGGCCAGAAATGTGCCTCCATGAGTACAAATCCTGCACCCCGAAGGCACTGTGGCTGCTGTCACTGTGTTGTCCCTATGCCACTGGGTTGGTGCACACTGAGCCCACAGCCTCTGAACACCCGGAGCTTGTCATCCCCTAAAAGTTCAGTGGGGTGGGGAAGTGGGAAAGCCAGCTGGGAATTCTGTGAGATAAGGAATGGGAAGGGTTCCCAGTGATTCTGGCAGGTGCTTTTCGGTACTCCAAGCTTTCTCTTACAAAAATAAAGCTTCCAGTTGAAGCCATTCTCAGCACAAAGAGCAGAAATAGACTCCACTTGAGGCAAGCAGAAAGAAGTAGAAAATAAACTCATGCTAAGATAGACCCTAATCGTTTCCTGGAGGGAACCATACACCCCGCTCCCCCTGGCAATAAGGCACAGGACATGGAATCCAACAAGGTCCATTTTGAGTCTGGTGAGCTGCATTCCCAGGTGGGAGCACACACTTTCCCAGTGATTTAAATTTCTGCACTCCTGTCTTTATTTTCTCTTTAAATCATCTAAAAAATGGAGTCTCATCCCTTGGTGAAGAAACACGGGAGTTCTTCAGCTGAGGTTGCTGAGCAATTGATAGCGGTTTCTGCAGTCATCACCGCAATCATCCATGGCTATGGATGCCATGCAATGGGTTCTCTGAGGCTCTAAGTGCATTCAGGTGCTCAAACATAGGAATTTTCAAACATTGCAGTGAATGGCTGTGGAGGGAATGTAAAGGTCAGGGCATGATCCTGAAGCTAATCTCAGAATGGCAGCTGCACCCAGGGCTGGGCATGGATTAGAAGCAATGGAAACTCTGAGCCTGCTGCCTGATTTATCCGGGCAGGAATTTACTGCAGCTGGGCTGGGGCTATATTGCCTTTCCTGACCGCACTGTGTGTGAGCAGGCTGAGTGCTCCAAACTGCCTCTGAAGTGCTGTGCACCCCATCTGCACCAGGATGGCACGGCAAGGTTGGAATTCTGCTTACACAGCCAAAAGCGCCACCAAATTTGCAGAAATGCACTACTCTTCCCTCACTCACAACCCACCAGTTCTCACATTTCCTCCTTGCTGCCCAAACATTGGAAACAAGTGCCTTTCTGGTGCAATTGTGTGCCTACAGCACCAGGTGCTCATCCCTGCTGAATCGAGGTCTGTTTGTTCAGACCGTTGCTCCAATTTGCCAAGATCGTTCTGAATCCAAACCCCATGTTCCAACACGCCTGCAGTTTCTCCCGGGGGGTGTCATCTCCCAGATTCTCCTCTGTCATGCTGATCACGTTAACCTGTTCAAGCAAGCATGGCCCATAGCAGTAATACCATCCTGCACTTGAAAAGGACCATGTCTTGAGCACAGTATGGCAGCGTTCCTGCTCCCAGGTTGCGAGCAGATGCTCAAACAGTACAGAACCATAAATCTTTCAGTGATTTCTGAAGTCTGTTCTCTTTGAAGATCCTCCTGGTGCTTGCAATCCATGTACATGTGCATCTGTGAAAGGAGCTGTCTGAGGTTTTTATTTGTAGGACTGCGACTGTCCTTTGCAAAAAAGCACAAAGCAAGCCAAGCTTCCTTGCCAAAGATGCTGGTATAGCTGCTTTTGGGATGCTGGCCAACAAGCAGAAATAGTGCCATTGATTTCAGCAAACCAGTCGTGCACCTTGCCTGGCACACACCTTGTGAATAAGCATGGAAAAATGTTGCGGATGACACAAGAGCCACTTTCTGTTTGCACAAAACATTTGGCAAACAAACGAAGAGGGAAGAAAGTCACACCAACTGCTCTGTGTTCACGATGCGGAAAAAGGGGGGGAAAAAAAGGGGTTGATTTTGTCATAAGCTGCACGTAGCGTTGTTTGCCTGGCTAATGGGAGTAAAAATGTGTGTGGAACAGTGCTGACAGTTTGCTGTCCCCAGAGGTGAGCGTCTGCTCACTGCCATGTCCAATGGGGACAACCCAGGGTGTGGGTGCAGGCCTCCCTCGTCCTCCCTGGGTGACACTGAGTCACATCTGCTCTGTAGCTGTCCTGATGCTGCAATGGCACAGCTATGTTTGCCACGATGGCTTCTCTGCCCAGGGGTGACATATGGAATGAAGCCTTGAATGGAAGTTGCTCTTTGTCAAGGCAGTCAGTGCAGCCTCAGAACAAGATGTATCCAGAACTCTGTAGCCACACCAGTAAATAGCAAGCCAACATTTTTATCATTTGAAGAATGTCGAATTCAAAAAGGGCAATAAACCTCAAGCTTTTTGCCTTATGTAGGCTCTGCCTTGTGAATCACAGCCAGATGTGCCAGAACACACGGTCTGAGGGTCAGGGGAGGATCACTGTGAGCAGCACTAGGTCCAGCCTTCCCTTTATCTTCCAGGCAGTTCCCAACTTGGGGACAAATAACCAGGAGGGCATAGCCCTACCTCAGGATAGCAGATTTCCACAAGACACTGTGGGGAAATTACTCTTGTCCTATCCCTAACACTAAACCAAAAGAATAAACTGAACCCCCAACCCTAACCATAACCCTAATGCTATAATAATTCTAACCCTAACCCTATCCCTATCCCCAACTCTAACCATAACCCTTTCCATACACCTAATCCTAACTCTAATCCTAACCCTAACCCTAACTCTAACCCCAAACCTAAGATTAACCCTAACCCTAGCACAAATCCCAACTCTAATCCCAACCCTAACTCTAACCTATCCCTTACCCTATTCCTAACCCCAACCCTAACCATAACCCTATCTCTAACCCCAACCCTAACCCTAACCTCAACTCTAACTCCAACTCTAACCCTAATCCTAATCCTCCTCTAGCACTGATCTCAGAGCAGCTCGTAATGCTCTGGGTACCCACATGTGACCCCGCTCCAGAACTGGGATTAGGCTCATTCCTAAATGCACCAAAAGCCCAGAGCCATTGCTGAGTTTGTGGATCCACACTCAGGAACATAGATATCAGCCTGTCCCATCTCCCTTGCATGATTTATTTTCCACAAATCCTTGAACTGCTGCAATTCAAGGTGGAGAATCCTTGAAAATAATCTAAAGCTGGAGGAGTGCACTCTTACTTTGGGGTGTGTATACATAGTTCAGCA